TTTTTTTTTTTTTTTTTTTTTTTTTTAATTATTATTATTTTATTCATGAAACAAGAATGTGGGCCTCAACCATTTAACAGAATGTTTGTAAACAGTAAAATAAACCCCTTTTTTGGGGTGAGTCTCTGCATATGTGTACCCTAAAGTTGGTGCTTAAATGTTTTAAATAAATTTCATTTTTATTTCATACTGTTTTTGCTTTTTAATTTAATTATTATTATTATTATTATTATTTAGAAACAACGTTTTCATTTGTATTTAGGATCATAAAAGATATGTGGCTTATATTCAAACCTGCATGCGAAAATTATATTTGGTTTGAGTCTTATGAGGAATGTGAAGCATTAAGTGAAAAAACTCGAACCCAACAAGCATGCACTGTGTCATAATCGCACTCTTACAATAACTGGACAACGTGTCCTAAAAAAAATCATAACCCCACAAATTCCATTTGTTTACAATGCCTTGAAGAACAACAAAGAAGATGAAGCTAAAAGGAGAAAACAACACTTGTGCCCACTAACCAAAAGATTCAAAGTGTGAGGGCTATGGTTCTAAATAATGAATAAGAACCGGGAGTGTAACAGTTACAAGGATAATACACACAGGGAACCCCCCAATACAAGCAGCCTAGCTGCAGCCCATCTATCATGACTTTGCCATCATAGAAACCGAGTACGGTTCATGACCGTGAACTCTCACACGATAGATGCACGTATGGGACGGGCTTCCATGGTTAGATGAGAAATCTAATCGGATCGTGTCAATGAGACCAGAGCTTGTTGTCTCCACCACGTCGAATGTCTGGGCATTGCTCTTCTCGAGGTCGTATGTAAAGTCAGCCAAGAGGAACATATTTTCGGCATTGACAGCTGAATTAGCATCATCGCCACGAAACCATCCAGATACCCTGCAATCCTTAGGCGCACTCGATCGATCGTACGCTACACTCTGTCCAGAAGAGTCAATTGTGAAGTCAAATTAGTGAAAGGTAAACCAAGGCCATAATGGAAAAGAGCAAGAAATTGCACAGTGGGGAAACAGAACTAGTGATACATAATATAGGAAGAACCCCAATTCAACCCAATACTTTTCCTCCTTTTGTAGCTAGAAATCTTCTGACCTCACTTGATCTCACAAACTATTGCTCGGTTTCACTAGATCACCGCAAGACCAGACAAGTGACTCCTTCGCCTCCGATCTTTAAAGTTCAGCCATTTCCTAAGCTAAGCAAGCAAAACCCTCATCTTCTACAATAATCCAAGCAGCAGCTTCATGAGTCCGCTCAGAACCAGTCAATTCCTAAGCCATTCATTCTCCCCTCTCGGTTGGCGTTTGCCAGCCACTAGGAGCAAGTAAGAGAACACTTCTAGACTTAAAAGAAAATCCTAAAACAACGAATTTTTTAAAAGCACTCGGATAAACTCATGGGAGTGTGGAGGATATACTTATTTGACATGAAAACTGACCAATGAAGGTTCTATTTTCTCCAAATTAAAGTAGTCGCCCAAATTGTTATATTCGGGGTGATGTTTGATAATAGAATAACTCCATCCAGACACATTCGTTTATTAGTACTAATCTACATGACAAACATAAGGTGGCCTATTTATTGATAGAATAATACCTCTTCACAATTCCATTTTCGATCCACAGTAAACAATACAACAATGAAGCAACTTAGAGCTAACTCAACCAAATAATTATTGAACGGTTTGTTGAGATCCTACATTGGTTGGGGAGGAGAACAAAACATTCTTTATAAGGGTGTGAAAACCTCTCCTAGCAGACACAGTTAAAAACTTTGAGGGGAAGCCCAAAAGAGAAAGTCCAAAGAGAACAATATTTGCTAGCGGTAGGCTTGGGTTGTTACAAATAGTATCAGAGCCAAACATCAAACAAGCGAGGAGGCTGAGCCTCGAAAGGGGGTGGACATGAGGCATTGTGCCAGCAAAGACGGTGGGCCTCGAAAGGGGGTGGATTATGTGATCCCACATCAGAGGGAGAGAACAAAACATTATTTATAAAGGCGTGGAAACCTTTGAGCCTTATCTCCAAATTACAAAGCTTTTTGTATATCGATTAAAGAACGAAGAGTAAGTAAGTGGGACCGAGAATTGGTGCAACCAATAGACTGCACAAGATAATCAGTTACAGTTTCATTTTGGCTACACATTGAGGGACTAGTGAAAGTCTTTTAGGTATGCCATGACTTGGGGGTTATGAAGAGGATCATAAAAGATTAGTATAAGAACATGCAACCTGACTTGTTCCAAGCACAATGACTAGAAAACACTTCGGGAGAGCACGGTAATGCTCTCTAGTGGGTACGTATCACTTAAACTAAGATCGCAATATTAAAGAATTTATCCATCAAAATTGGAACATATGACAAAAAAGATAAGATATAAGATATGTCCCATGTTTGAAAAAACATATCCAATGACTATATTCTGCCTTCATTTTAACTATGCGCGGGCCTGTATGATAGAACTTGTTTCAGTAAAGAAAAAGGTAACAGAAATGGAAGGGGACGAGCAAGACCACATATCTATCAGAAAAAAGAAGAAAAAAAAATCAAATTTCCTTGATCAAAACGACTCAAGCCCACCACTAGCAGATATTGTCCTCTTTGGGCTTTCCCTTTTGAGCTTACCCTCAAGGTTTTTAAAACGTGTCTACTAGAGAGAGTTTTTCACACCCTTATAAAGAATCTTTCGTTCTCCTCCCCAACCGACGTGAGATCTCACAATTCAACCTCCTTCAGGGTCCAGCATCCTCACTGGCGTTTGTTTCCTTTTCCAATCAATGTGAGACCCCCCAATCCATCCCCATTTGAGAGCCAGCGTCCTTGCTGGCACACTGCCTCGTGTCCACCTCCTTCGGGACTCAGTCTCCTCACTGGCACATCGCCCAGTGTCTGGCTCGATACCATTTGTAACAACCCAAGCCCATCGCAAGCAGACATTGTCCTCTTTGGGCTTTCCCTTTCGGGCTTACTCTCAAGGTTTTTAAAATACGACTCCTAGGGAGAGGTTTCCACACCTTTATAAAGAATGCTTTGTTCTTCTCCCCAACCAATGTGGGATCTCACAATGACGATCATGAAGAAACCGGAACTTATATTATGCTGCAACACCTAACCAATCTATGTATCTATAAATCGTTTCTACTAAAACAGAACAGCCCCCAACATAACAAAGTACATAAGGAACAAATGTTGCGTTCATATCTCCCAAGAATGTCCATGGTTCTCTTCACAACTCATGGGGTAAAATACAATTTTTGTTCTTTCTCAATCATAGCCCCGCTAGTACCCTAACAACTCAAGCACACCACAAGCAAATATTGCCCTCTTTGGACTTTCCCTTTTGGGATTCCGCTCAAGGTTTTAAAACACATTTACTAGGGAGAGGGTCTAACCCTACTCCGACCAATGCCTCACACTATCCAATGACTAACTCTAATACCATTTGTAACAGTCCATGCCCACCGCTAGCATAAGGGATAGCCTAAAAGAGAACAATATTTACTAGCGGTGCGGTAGGCTAGAGTTGTTACAAGTACCCGCCAACAAATGCTCATTCATATTTCAGCGAGTTTCAAATGAGATATCTACTGTATGGAAACACATATTTGGATATTAAAACAAAAACTATAAACAATTCTAAGAAGAAAAAGAAGTATCACCTTGGCAACATGCTCTAAAGTAATAGCTTCTGGAACAATGGCTGTTCGTAGCTTGATTTGAACGAAGCCACTACTTCCTTTCAAGGGGAAGCACTGCCCGGGCTCCCCAAAGCTCGGTTTGAGCATCTTATCCGCATCACTATGAACCCCATTCCTCACACTTTTTGAGAACCAATTACTTGTCCTTCCTATATAAGGCTCCGAATGCTTTACAACCATTGCCCCACCAGAAGAAAGAGCATAATCCACCCTACCAAGCCCATCAGCCGCATGCTTCTGAATCTCCCTCTCAATCATCTCCCTTGCATACGCCCTTATATCATCCAAATTCGTAAATCGCTCATCAAATTCACTGTTCTTGGCCTTCTTCAATTCCTCATAAATTTGATCAAATTCTTGCTTCGACAACCAATCCGCCGCCCTTAATTCACTCAAAGACCTTTCCAGATCTTCCCCCTTGTTCTGCAGCATCTTCAAACCGCTCTCAAGATCAGCAGTTTTCTCCTCAATCTTCTTGTCAACTTCCCTTCTCAACCCTCCGATCTCATTCTCAATCTTCCGATCCACGACCTCCACCTGCACCTGAAACATCTTCGTGGTGGTCTTCAAGGACGTTTCAACTTCCGCAATCCGCCCCTCGACTTCTGAAAATCCCATCTGATTTTCCACCGTTCCTTCGCCGGACTTTAGGGCTAATTTCCTAATCATTTGAACCAACCCTAAAAGAACAATCAATAGCACAAAATTCTTCGTGAATACGCTAAGAATAGTTACCCATCGAGGCTTCTCCGGCTTCGCAAGTACTTTCCTGCTCCGCCGAGGGGAGATGGTGGAATTCGCAACAACTTTCTTGATCTGAAGTTGATCCCTAGAGGACCGCTCGAGAACAGCCTCACCTCTAATCGAATGATGGCTCATATCCCTACTATTTCCACCGGCGACCTTATCCTCGCCGACACCGACAATCCCGGCAGTAGCGGTATTGGAAAGAGGGATGGCGCCATCAGCGGCCAACATTTCAATACTTGTCCCCTTCTTCTCCGAAACCAAGACCGGCCTCCTCCGCGCTGCCGGATTCGCCGTTATCGAGACGGTCGAAGCCGACATTTCTGTGGCAGATTGTCACAATTCTTACAGCAAAAGAATCCCCAAAAATGCAAGAAGCCCTAACACAGTTGAAGATCGAATTTGAAAAACGTAGAAACATACAAGAAAGATTGAATGTCTGTGTAAACTGAGATTTTGAAATTTCTGAGAAAAAAAGCCGAGAAATTTGGGAGGGAGAAAGGACAAATATGGTGGCAAAATTTGATTTCCGAATCGAGAAAAATTGAAAATTTAATGCGCAAAACTGAATTGAATTAACCCACTCCAAATCAACTGCGTTCCAATCTTTGGGCTGGGCTTGGATGGGCTTCCATTACCACCGGCCCAGCCCACCGGCCCAGTAACATCAGTGTCGTAAATACCCTTTTTCTCTTGTTTAATTTTTGCATTTAATTGGATTAAATTAGTAATTAAATTTTAATTACCTTATAATTGGTCACTAAATCTAAAAAATAAAAAATAAAAAATAAACCATCTTTCACATAGTCTCAAATTTTTAGGACTAATAAAAATAAAAGTTTAAGATTAATTAAAAATAAACTTTAAATTAACGGCGTCCCTAAATTTTAGATATGAGTACTAAAAAAAAGTCTTGGAAAAGTAATTTTTTTTAATGACAATTTAGTCCTTCTAACAATTTAGTCCTTAAATATTCCTCAGTTTCTAACCATTTAGTCCGTTTCTAAACATTTAGAAAAAAATTTATGAATTCATTTTGATTAAGCTTCCTTCCTATTAATCTGAAAGTTCTTCTCAGATCCAAGGAAATGATTCAGTTCCAAAGCCAAAGATCGTAATTCTCGAACGAGCCATTGAAAAGATTCTGGAGTATCCTCAAGTTTAGGTATTGTTCCTCCAATGATCGTAGTGATAGATGGAACTTCAACCGCAGCTAGGTCGCATTACGTTCGTGCATAACTTCCATACCAAGATTAGCATGGTTAATAATATCGGCCCAGGTAAACATTTAGTCCGTTTCTAACCATTTAGACCTTAAATAGAACAATCTATTGTCTGATATCTCTAACAAACAACCATATATATACAAATTTAATGAAATGTTTTCAAGATTATGAGGTAAAAAAAAATTGACAAACAACAATAACCATATATATATTATATATCTTTTTTTTTTTCCTTCTTATTCACATTGAAACATTGTTTTTGTTTGTTTTTGAAGCTGAACTAAAAACTTTATATGACAAATCACAGAGACACTCAAAGTTACAATGGTCCCATTATAATCTCTTCTCTACCACTGATTAATATAACAGACCCCACTAATAAGTACAGACAAAACCTGAAGATAGTTAAAAACAAACTATCGAACCCACCACGTACACTTTCTTCTTTACGAGTGTGAGGAGGACGAAGACAGAGTCGATGTCCAAGTTAGAACGGCGCTGACGATGTTCTTCGAAGCTGGTACTTCGGCTCGGGTGAGGGTGCCAATGGTAGCATCTTTTCCAGCTCCTGAACATGCAAAACAAACTCTCCTTGAAGCAAAAACAAAACGTTCCTTGTATAGGAACCTCTCTCTAATAGAAGCGTTTTAAAACCTTGAGGGAAAACTCGAAAAGGAAAGCCCAATGAAGACCACATGTGGTGGGCTTGGGGTGTTACAAATGGTACTAGAGCCATACATCGGGCGGTGTGCCAGCAAGGACACTAGCCCCCAAGAAGGGTGGATTGTGAGATATCATATCGGTTGGAGAAGGGAACGAAACATTTCTTATAAGGGTATGGAAACCTCTCTCTGAGAGATGGGGAAGTCCAAAAATATCTGCTAGTGGTGGGCTTGGACGGTTACACTTAGATTAGGCCATAAAAACTGTTCAACCCTATAACATTTGGAGTTGAAAAACGCTACATCATGAGTTTTTAACCTCGGGAACATCCAATTTTAATTTCAACTATCAGGTCGACTCACTAGCTAATCTCGATAACGATTTAAGACAGCACAAGAAAAATATGTTACAAAAATAACAAGCAGAGTTAACAGCAGTATAGTATATAAGAATTGAGGATAAGAATTGAGGTAAACAACCTAATGGCAATGCAGATCCACAGCCAACAGCCAGATATCAACAACTGCTAATCTCAATGCAGGATGCTAGACAGACTTCATTTTTCAACCCCTAGTCACCAAGGCTGAGGTTTCACATCAGTTGGAGAGGAGAACGAAACATTTCTTATAAGGATGTGAAAATCTCTCCATAATAAATGTGTTTTAAAACCGTGAGGCTGACGACGATACGTAATGGGTCAAAACGGACAATATCTATTAACGGTGGGCTTGGGCTATTACAAATGGTATCAGAGCTAGACACTGAACTGTGCGAGGCACTAGTTGGAGTAGGGCTAGACCCTCTCCATATAGACGTGTTGTAAAACCTTGAGAGGAAACTTGAAAAGGAAAGCCCAAAAAAGACAATATCTGCTAGCGGTGAGTCTGTTACAACCTCATTAAAAAACAAAGAAGTGGAAGTAACGCTATTGAACTAGAATTACAATGACATGCTTAAAAGGCAAACAAATTTCTTTAGAATGATCGTTCGTAACAAAAAAAAAACACTACAGGCTCTAACATCATTGAATGTTGTTGAATCGGTCATAAATAACCAACTCGGTTTGGTCTGGTCAAACGTTTCGAAGAACTATTCTACTCATGATGGTATACTGTCAGAAGATTTTCGGTCAGAGATGAACGTTAAAAGTGTCATTTGCCAACATATTGGGCTACTAAAAGTCGGAAGGAAAAGGATAAGTGTGTTGATTCATGCTCGGAAAAGATCCTAGGAAACGACACTTGAAATTTTCAAGCTTTGAAGCTTGCAATCTTATAGACCCAACAAGCCTTATCTCAGTTTCATAAACTAGTTGGGTATTTGAATCGAAAACATAGACAAAGTAAAGCACTTCGAACTTCATCGACAAATCGAGCCAACATTTATGCATTTTAAAAACTTTACTATTACCGACGCAAGGCCTGGAGTTACTTTTAGAGCTGATAAACGAGGAAAGGCAAGGAGACCCACTCTTCCTGGTCTTGTTCTAGATGCGCATGAAATACATCAATTTAGTGGCACGGGCTGAAGAAGCGAAGTTCGATCTAATAATGGCAAACTAGTGAGATCGGATGAACTCAGATATGCAGCCAGTACTTTTTTCTCGTACGTCATTACGAGCATTATGGAGATCTAGTAAATCAAAAGGTGGGCTAGAATATAGACAACCCGCAGCATACAAAGACAAACAAGTGAAGTGGGCAAACTCAGATCGGATGAACTCAGTTCCGTTATTGTACTCGTTAAACAAAAACTTAAAAGCATATGTGCCTAATGTGAGGTAACTCGAGTCGATCAGTTCAGCTATTAAGGAAAATATTCGACATCCATCAACGTTCAATATTTAAAGAAAACTAACCTTCCGTTTCCGGAGCCTTTCGTTCTCCTCTTCCAAACGTGAAACTTTATTCTCCAGTTCATTGGTATATGCCTGTTCAAAGTGGGCAATTGAGGAAAATGGAACGAGAGATAGAGAGAAACGAAGTACTACGAACTTCTAACTTTACCAAACCCGAAGATTTTAAAAATCACCTGCTTCCTTGCTCGTGAACGAGCGGCAGATTCCCGATTCTTTATCATCCTTTTCTGTCTACGCTCGACAGTTTTCTCAATCATGTCTTCAGGCGCTCCTCTTTTTCTCCCAGATGTGGGTGTATCTGATAAAGTTCCCATTAAAGGAGTCTGTAATGCCATTTGGTTGTCTACATATGGAACATCCATCACAGCACCAGCCCCAACATGCAGCGGCTGGGGAATAGGCTGGCCCGACATATATACCCCCATCATTGCTGCTTGTTGAGACTGATACGGAGGTTGCGGGTACTGCATCCACTGCGTTTGTTGAAACTGTGGCGTGATATTTGCATCAATTTCAACAACAGAACCCGCTCCTTTTTTATTCGACGACGTTTCAGCAACCACCCCTGCTTTCACTAGAAAATCCTCCAACGTCATCTCTCCCAACGTCAGTTGCTGTTCACGAGACTTCTTCTCCTCACTATTTTTGCTTTGTTGAATATCTCTCCACACCTCATCAACAGTCTTTTTACTCAGAGCACCATTCAACGAAAGGCTAGCCTGACGTTGTAGGGACGTTTGATTATCCAAGACGGTATTATCCTCATTCTCCTTACCAACCGTTTGGTTCGCCTCAGCAGTCCACACATTCTTAAGAAGCTCGTCGAGATTCATACTGATTAACGGCTTTCCTAGATCTCCCAACTGATTTTGGACCTCATCCAACGTGAGATTATAAAGCGAGCTTTGACGAACCAACGGCTGGAACTGTGATTGTTTGCCATTCGGATCACCTCCAGCCTGAGACCCCATAGTCTGAATCCCCATTCACCTAATCCAACTCAAATTTTAATCCATAGCTCAAATCCAAACTTCCATACACAACATTATTCAAACCTATAGGTAGCGAAACCACCTCATTTCACTCGAGACAACCAAAGCCGATACCGTGGCAACTAATCCAACAACATTCTGCATAAGACATAGAACAAGTACCAATTCAAACAGATAAGCATATTGATCATTAGATCAGATCCAGAAACAAGAATATCCAGCAATGAACATGATCTATAACAAAACGAACAAGTAATGATCCAAAATCAAACTCTAAGACTCCAAGAACTTCCAAGAACACCTTGAAGAACAAACTCATTCCAATAAAACCCAGAAAATGAGTTAATGGTAGACAAAACCCTACATGCAGAAACATAATGCATAGCCAATAGCCACCAGTGATCAGTAACTCAGAAACCCTAAACCTAAAACCATAATCCAACTATGTTTTAAGCCAACAAAATCATTTTCCAGCATCAGTAATATCAATGGAACTGCCAGAATATCAAAATTTGGTGAATGGATATCAATCCAAGACAGATTTCAAAGCTCTGATATCAAACAAAAAGGAAAAAATGGTTCAAGTTCTACACCAAAGAGAGTCATATCAATGAACAAGAACAACAAAAACAGGTCTGCATGCAATGATATCAGTGAGTTCCACTAAAAAACCTAAAAAATTTCAAGAAATCACAAATGGGTTAAACACAAAACAACATTCTGAGATGAACCGAAGTAAGTGAAACACAAATTTCCAGAGAAAAACAGAAAAAACGAAGAGAAAACCTAAATGGGTAACGCAGAGAAACGAAGAACAAGGGATTGAAGTGATACCTGAAGAAGAATTCGAGGGAAGAACAAGAGAAGGATCTAAGAAAGAATGTTGGATGGAAAAAAGGAGGAGAAAATCATGAAAAATGCGTAGTTTGGGGATGAATTGATGAAAGAAAGAAGAAAAATAGGGAGAAAAGGGAAGAAGATGGAAGAGAAGGAGAAGCCCAGGTGTGAGAATCGATGTGGGCAAACCAAAAGGGGAAAAAATTACTGTCTGAAAAACAAATGAAATCCCTTTTTTTTCTTTTTTTTTTTTTTAACGAACACAAACAAATTTAATTGGGCGAAATTCTGAGTCTTCGTTCTATGAATTATACTATTGAAAGAGAAATGGTTCCATGTTCACGCCCTCATGCGCTAATGATGAGACCCCATTTTCATTTGTCTGCTTCTGCCACCGTTTACGAGGCTTCTGTTCCCCTCTCCAAATTTCTATTTCTTTTTTTTTTTTTTTAATCAATTCATTTTCAAATTTAACCTTAAGGATTATAATTTTTCATTAATTTTCGTGAAAATAAATAAATAAATAAGTTTAATCACAAATTTTATATAATATTTTATTTAATTGGAAATGGGTTCTTTTTTTACCTTTAAATAAATAAATAAATAAATAAATAAATAAATAATAATAATAAAGGAGAGAGATTATTTTTGCATGTATCGTATAACTCATTTTTTGTCATGTCTTGAAAGACTTTCTCTCTCGAATTTATCAGTTTGTTCGATTAGGTGAACATTTATTTTATTTTTTATTTTTTATTTTTTATTTTCCTTTTGTTGGATTATTTATCAAATAATTTAATTTCTTATTTATTTACTTATTTTTATTCCAATTATCCACGTAACCATAAAGTTGTTTTTCTTTTGTTGGATTATTTATCAAATAATTTAATTTCTTATTTATTTACTTATTTTTATTCCAATTATCCACGTAACCATAAAGTTGTTTTTTTTTTCTTATTTTTCCATTCCAAGGTTGAATCAAATTATTTTATTTATGTCTAATTTGACTGAACAGAACATATGGTGAATCGGTTCATAAATAGCGTGTTTACTTGTATGTCATAACAATTAGGTCTAAGGACTATTATTCTAGGTACGAAAACGAGGTCTATTTGCTCCTCAACCTTGGTCTTGTAGCTTCTCTCCTTTCACTCGTTCTTTTTTCTTTTATTTCCCGTCTATGTTGAACTTTGAATTTGTTTAAAAAATACCACGAAACTTACCCGATCATTAAAATATAAAAGGACTTTTCTGCAATGTCTGCATCTCTTCAATTGAATTGTCTATCTATACATTTACATTCAGAGTACCAATCAGATATGGTTCCAATAATGTGTAAATAACCATGAAGCAAGTTCAATATAATTTCAAATGGTACACAAGAATCAAACGCCAGCTGATGATCACTTCCACCACCAAAACTGTCGAAACAAATATATCTTCCTCATTCGAGCGTTATAAGTCAAGAACGCTCGGGCTTTCACTGGATTCGCATTCAAATATTCGAAGGCATACATCTGTTTAGCTTCCTCCAAACCATCAATCTCCATTACAGCTTCTAAGAGTTCATTAGCATCTATCGAATGTTTGCTCAGTTCCATTGCATCGGCCAGACGACGAATACTGGACGCCACGGCCAGCATTGCATCTTGGAGAGCTTCAGATGCCCGTGGCCTTTTTGGATGTTGTCTCTGTGGACTGTTTGGCAGAGGGTCCTGACTGCCATTGGGCAGTTCTGCATATTCGGATGGTCCAGTGTACGACTCTGTATCATCTGTTTCGCTAAGATCTTCAGAGCTTGGGGAGTGAAACGACGCAGATTCTTCTACAAAGTTCCTAACCTGCAGTGGACGGTTTCCATCCTTCATCTTCGTCCATCGACTCGGAGCCTGATAATTGCCACAAACAATGTTTAGTTCATCATACATCTCTATTGGCTTCCCTCTGAGTCCTCTTGCATCGGGGTGTGCCTATTCCATGAATTGAACATCATTTTACACATGAACTATTCCATATTAGTTGCGATGTTTAGATTTGAAGAAGTGATGAGAGAAGCATTTACTCACTGCCACATATCTCTTCCAAAGTTCTTCACTGTCACAATCAATCATCTTCGAAGTCGGGTTCCACTGAAACCCATCTCGACAAAGAATATCCTTGATTACTTTGTACCTCTTCTTAATCGTCTTAAGGCGATTGATAACTTTCTGGTTGTTCAAGTTTAAGTTAAAATGACTATTGACAGCAACACATGCAGCTGTATATGCATTTTCATTAAAGCATCTCTCAATTTTATTCCCATTTCTGGCCTGAACAGCTAGAGCTTCAATAAGGCACTTGTCCATTGCAACTGACCAAACAACATTCCTTCCTTTGTGCTTAACATCCCTTCTTTGCCCTAGCAGGCCATATGACTCCATTCCTGTATAAGAAGTTCATCAACAGTAATCATTTGCATCAGTCCATGGACACGCCTTTTAATATAGATCGAGTTGGAAAACTTTATGAGTGCGGAAAAAGACTTCCCAGAATAATTCATGTCAATGTCTACTTACTTTTAGTCATCTAGAAACATGTGCTGGATATATGCTTGTGATGACTGCAGAAAAGGAAGAAAAATCAGAGCAATCATGGGAGACAATCATACAACTCCTTGAGATAGTATAGAACTAAACTACTGGGATGTGCCACTGAGGATCAACGTGCAATTGACTAGTTTTTACATGTCCACGAAACGGTTTGTTTCGACAGAGAAGAAAATGAGGAAAATCTAGAATCGTGACAAGGATGGCTGTAAGACGAAAGTCAGAGCACGACTCTACCGAGAAATCCCCAGTTGAAACGATTATAATTGAAAACTTTCTTTTGCGCAAGAAAGCAAGATTGAATGTGCTCAACTGCTGATCATCAAACTAGAACAATAAGCTAAAGAAATCATCTCACATGAGCGGAGTGCTAATGAAACTTTACAAGGAAATTGGGTGTCCTGTTCCCCAACTCATAACTAGAGGCTATAGCAGATTGCACTTATGAGATCCCACATCCCGATGAGGGGAACGAAGTATTCCTTACGAGGGTGTGGAAACCTCTCCCTAGAATACGCTTTTTAAAACCTTGAAAGGAAAGCCCAAAGAGGACAGTATTTGCTAGCGGAGGGATTGGGCTATTACAAATGGTATCAGAGCCAGTCACCGGGTGATATGCCAGCATGGACGCTGGCCCCCGAGGGGGTAGATTGTGAGATCTCATATCGGTTGGAGAGGGAAACGAAGTATTCCTTTTAAGAGTGTGGAAACTTCTCCCTAGGAGACACATTTTAAAACCTTGAGGGAAGCCCTTGAAGAGAAAGCGCAAAGAGGACAATATCTACTAGCAGTGGGCTTGGGTTGTTACAACATCGCATGGCTGAACATGCTTATAATCAAACCCAAATCAGGCATTTAAATATTGGTACAGATATATGTTGCACACTATGCCTTAATGAAGATGAAGGGTGGCCCAAAATTAGACACATAAACATGGAAGCTACTACGGCATTTGAGAGAATGTACCACCATAACCAATCCATATTTCAACCAGTATGAAAGGACAGCAATCTCGTACTCTTTTTAAACTAGTGTAACATATATCAGCCTAAGTATAGCTCAACTACTTTCGACATCTACTCTCAACCAGAAAGATTAAAGGTTTGAGTCCCCAACCCCATATATGAGAACAATGTTAGTTCTTATTAGTTCCATGTTAAAAACAAACGTTATTTGAACACCAACCTTTGCAAAGGCAGTTTCTGTTGATGTAGACGAACTAAACAAAAAAATCATAACGTCTATTTCCACTTTTAAAATGAAACAAAACAAAGTAAAATTAACGAACAGGTCAATGACTCCAGTCAGAAAGCAGACATTTCTATGGAAGAACACAGAAACTGAGACTGAGAGTACGTACACAATTGGCATCACTAAACACTAAAGCTCTAGGACAATTTTTCTTCATCAACATATATAACAAGATTGCATATAAACACAGTTTCAATCTCTCAGACTACGTAACACTCGCAATTCCTCTCCATCCCCAACAAAATTCATCTCTGAATCAGAGTTTCAGCCAAAACAGACTCTCATTATACGAACAAAGATTGAAGAATAATACCTTCACGATCCGTCCAGCACAAGTTCAACGGAGGGAACTGAGATTGAGGCAACAAAATGATCATATTAGAAACTGGAAAGCTCTTAAGAAAAATCAATAATACAGAGTAAACAAAAAAAAAAAAAAAAAAAAGTTACCGAAATCCAGCAAATGGATTGAAGAGCGAGAATCAGATCGCGGATTCGTGAAGCATATTATCGCCAGTAGGGCGGCAACGACGAAGAAAGTGAAAAGAATAATGAACAGTGAAGCTCCATTAGGGGAAGAGTAGGGTTTTCTCGAGAAAATTTTTACTTTCTCGAAAACCAAACGCCAACGAGAAAATAATTCTTTTTCCCGGAAAATAATTTTTTTTTTGGTTGCTGGATGTTATGCTCTAGTACACTGGGGCTTCTCAAGTTATGCAAAAAACCCCCAATCACGAGCTGACACGTAAACACTTCACCGACGGCATTCAATATAAAAGTCCATGCCAGCAAGTTTTTTTTTTTTTTTTTTTTAAGGGAAAAAAACAAATTATTTTTAAAATTTATGCTACTTATTGATTGAATCCCCACAATCCTTCTTAGAATCTATTGAGAGAGTTCTCGGTACAAATTTGCTCTCGTATTTTTCTCCTTTGTATAAGAAGATTTGAGAAGAAAAATTAATTGTTCAGAGCAACTAGAAAGAGATTTTTTAACGAGAAATAATTTAGTTGAGGTGTGCGATAACTATTCAAAAGTTCTAGCAACTCAATCATGTATGATGGAATCATCAAAGATTTTACCTTTTCGAGCTCTATCTATGTAACTCACTATAGGTTCGAGAAACAAAGAGAAGATGTGTATGAACGAGATACACAGCAACAAGAAGAAGGAAAAGGATTGAACAACAGAACTCCTAATCTCAGATGTGTCGATATTGATGGTGACTCATTATTTCAATAATCATTTCTTCGAATAGGAGGATTATGTAAACACTTACTCAAAATCTCACTTATCAGAT